ACCACGCCGGCCACCACGCCGGCCACCACGCCGCCGCCGTTCTCGCGGTTGCGGCTCAGCTCCGAGTCCATGCTGAAGCTCGACTCGGGCCGGCTCTCGTTCTCCAGCAGCAGCTCCTCCTCCTCCTCCTCCTCCTCCTCGTCCTCCTCCTCCGGCTCGTGGCCCAGCGAGGGGTCGCTCTCGTGGTGGCGGAAGTCGCCGTCGGCAGCCTTGAGGCCCTCGCCGGCCAGCTCGCTGGTGCCGGGCTCGGGGGAGCTGGCGGCCGAGAGCCCGTCGTCGGAGCGGCCGGCCAGCGAGCCCGCCTTGTGCATGTGCGTCTTCATGTGGCGCTTGAGCTTGCTCGCCTGCGAGCACGCGTGGTCGCACAGCTGGCACTTGTAGGGCTTCTCCCCCGTGTGGCTGCGCCGGTGCACGATGAGATTGCTCTGGAACTTGAAGGTCTTGCCGCAGAACTCGCACGACTTGCTCTTGGTGGGCGGCTGCGGCGGCGGCGTGCCGCCGGGGGGCATGGGGGGCAGCGGCGGCGTGCTGAGGAACGGGGACTTGGGGCTGGGCTGGAACGGGTTCAGGAGCCGGTGCATAGGGTTGCCGCGGCCCGGAGACACGGGCGGCGGGGTGGCGCTGTTGCCCGCCAGCTCGCGGAGCCGCCGCGAGAAGTCCATGGCGGGCGAGTCGATGGCCATGGGGTTCAGGCGCATGACTCGGTCGAAGGCACTGGGGTGCTGGGCGACGAGCCCCATCTCCTCGGCGCTGAGGCGGTGCGGGTCCAGGTGGTGTCGCGGCGGCGGGCTGAAGAGCGGCGGCGTGCCGGGCAGGCGGCCCTCGCCGAAGCCCGGGTGGTCCCGCAGGATGGGGCCCGTCATGCGCAGCAGGTTGAAGGGGTTGCTGTCGCCGAGGAAATTCATGAGCGGGGACTGCGCCACGGCCTCGGGCCCGAGCGGCGGCGGGATGGTGAGGCGCGGCGTGAGCGAGCTGCTGGCCGGCCCGGGCTCCAGGTAGATGCGGAAGCCGTGCGTGTTCTGCGCGTGCTGCAGCAGGAACCACGCGCTGTTGAAGGGCTGCTTGCATGTTGTGCAAATGTAGCTGGAAGGCTCATCTTTACCTGCGGAGACAGACACACGGACAGAAAGGCAGAGAGAGCGTGAGAAGGGGCAGGCGGGGGCACGGGCACGCGGGGCCACAGACCTGGAGGTGCGCGTGCGGCTGGGCCGATGGGATCTGTTCGGGTGGCCTGGCGGCAGGACCTGGGCCTTGCTTCCATTCTGCAGGCCTGGCTTTGCTGCCACAGAGGTGCTCCTCCTTATCTCAGGCCAGATGAGGCGGTGTGGGCGGACAGGCCCGACCCTAATAGGAATCATAGAGAGCAGAGGAGAGATGGCCGGGGCGAACCTCAGACCACTCAGGCCAGGGTTCCTCAGCCAAGGCACTTCTGACATCTAGACCCCTGTAATTCTTGGTTGCGGCGGGGGAGGTCTGTGCAGCTATTGCAGGGCCTCCACCTTCCAGACCTCGGGAGCACCCCCTGCTTCGTGGTGAAGAGCAGTCATGTCCCCCGACTTTGCCAAATGTCCCGCGGGGGGAGGGGAACGTCGCCACCCCTGCCCCCTGGGAACCAGGGCTTCAGACAACATTTAGTTCAAGGAAGTCCTACAGAAACACAAACTGGACTGTCTTGAAAACTTTCTCTTTCCTCTCTAAGAGAAATGAGGGATTCCTCTGGAGCAAATACAGGAAAGCCTGTGTGTCATGTAACCACTGTGCAGAAAGCACCCTCCAGCCAAACACAGATACCCAGAACCAGAAAGGAGAAATTTCATACTTTGTAGAGACCCACTGCTGTGCGACAGCTGTCCCCACCCGCTGTCCACACACACACACACACACACACACACACACACACCCCAGCCAGTGTGGAATTCAGCTTCCATTCACCCCTGGCACAGAGTGACTGCGACATTGGCCTAACAGTATTTTGAAACCTTTTGCCAGAATAGTAAGGAATGAAAGCAAGACTGTTGCCAGATCCACCAGCATGAACAGCCGCCAACGCCGATTTGTTACGAGCCTGGCTCTGGTGACATGGGCAGCAAGTTGTAGCGGACACCGGTGGCCCCGAGCCAAACTGTCACGGTCTTTGTCCGTCACTGGGGTAGTCACAAAATGGAGGCTCGGCCTTTCATCGGATCCTTCTCTGGGTGGCCCTCGTTGACCTGTGGGTGAAGCGTGCCTCCCACCAGCCAAAACCCTGCTAACGCTTCGCCCGAGAGAGAGAGGGGGGGGGGGGGACAGGCGTGGACAAGCCTTGTCAACTGTCATCAGCTGCACCGGCCAGGAAGGGAAGAACAGGAATCCCACCCCAGGCCCTGCAGGAGGCACCACAGCTGTGAAGCCTGTTTTGTCTTCCCAAACTCCCTGTACCTGGAAGACTAATGCTGATATTAAAATCAGTCGCTGCAGACTCCCTGGTGAAGCCAAACATGAGTGTCAGTCACCCTACTAGTAAGGCCACGAGGGGAGGGGAGAAGACAGTCCCCCACCTTATGAAATCCTGGGCACACCAGGCTTTTGCTTTCCACTCACTAACTGCGGGGTTTTGAGGGGAGGGCTGCAAACTCTACAGGGTCTACAGCTGAATTAACCGCCCTTTGGGAACCATCTACACAAAAGCCACACAACTGGGGGACCAAGCGCCCTGACTTCCCTCTGAGGGCTTAGTCTCCTGTGCAGCCAGGACCTCCCGGGACATGCCGTGTATGCACTGTCACAGCAGCTGTCCACGGGGCAGGGGCACCTGGCCTGGCGCAGGAAGCCAAGGCCTGGCACCACACAGGCAGATTCCACTCCGTCTCTCTTTGTGTCTGTGAGTTTGGTGGCATGAAGACAGCAGGTAGGAAGAACTAACTTCAGGGTGATTCTGTCCCCCACTCAGGAGCCTCTCAGGGGACCCTCCTCAACCTGGAAAAAGGCAGGGAGGCCCATCGAGGGCCTGACACCCCATCTTCCCCTCTGCAAGCCACTCTAACAGAGAAAGGCCCAACTTCTCAGAGTCACCACCTCCTATCCCCAGCATTAGTTAATGTCCTTGGGGACAGGACACCTTACCTCAGCTCACAGGAGAGCTGGCCAGAAGCCATCCTGAGACTCCACATCCTCTTATTTTTTTTATAGCAAGACAGAATATGTAAGTAATAAATAAGAAGATAAATAAAAGTCTCTGTCAGATCCAGGAGCTAATAACACAAATGAAGTGCTATGTCCTGAGAGGTCACAGATCTTCAAATTACAGGGTTGTTTCTGTATCCTTCACCTGTTGGAGTCACTCTCATTAATCTGTTAATGGCACGTGGCACCCTGGTTCTGTGTGTCCTTAAATTGGGCCATCTCCTGTCCCGTACATCTGTACTTCCTCCGGTAGCTCCAGATCACTTCCTGTCTCTGTTTCTGGTGGCCGCACATTTTCTGGAAAGTTCTGCGGTGGTGAGCAATATGCAGGTAGCACAGGAAAAGGCAGAGGTCCCAGTCAGGCAGGGAAAGAAAAGACTGCTCAGAACTGAAATGGCCGGTTACATTTTTCTTTTTTTTTTTTTTTTTTTCAAATCAGAATGCCAGCTGCTGGGAAGCGTGTCACTACGTGTTCTAAAGAGCTCTGATGTTTCCATGTCTTGGGGGTTTTTTTAGGGGGAGAAAAAGACACTTCTGAAACTCTTAACTTGGAGGTACCCAGGGAACGGGGCTACCTGTCCATAATTCACTATGAAGTGTCAAAGAGCTATGTATACTCATCAGGTCGGATTTCAGCGCCACTTGTCATTCCCGGGAGAGCTCTCTCCTTACCTGCAGCCCTGAACCCCTCTGGCCCAACGAACATGACTCACGGCAGGCAGTGGCCTCCCCTGGGTCTCCCCACTACTGAATTTTAGAACTCTCCCAGCCCTCGGAGGCCCTGCCCTCCCTAGATAACCATTTTTTTACCTACCCCACCTCGTCCCCACCTTCCATTTTTGTTAAATAAAATGTTCATGACAGTAGCTTGACTTTATGGTTATCTCTTGCCTAGAAGCATCCCCGAGCATGGGGCTGTTTGCCTTTGAGAACTGAACAATGTCAGAAAGTCTTTGCACAGCCACTTGGAACATTTTTATAGTACAAAACCCAATAATATTTTTTAAACGCAGCACTCAGTCATAAACAGTTAATTTTTAAATACGGCAGACAGAGGGCCCTTGGACAGTGGGCTACTTCTGATGTAGGGCTGGCCTGCTCTCCTTTGGGGTGCTGAACACTCCTCACCAACACCCCGTCCTCCTCCCATAGAAGCTGACGGCTGCCCTGCAGCGTAAGGCAACTGCTTTCTTTGCTGGTGAAACACAGAGTCCACCTGCTTCTGTGGCCCTGAGGTTCCTCCTGATAGGTGGAAACCTAGATTACTACAACAGTTTACCCAGAAACATCAAACCTGCCCTACAGACTAGAAATGCCAGCGGCAAGCTGGGTGACTCAGAAGCCGGCCCCACATCCTTCCTCCTTTGCTTGCTTTCTTCCTCCTTCCTTTCTCAGGAAAAATATACCTGCCTGCGAAAAGGGCTGCGGGATCTGCTAAGTTGCTGTCCCTTTAAATTGCATGTCGCTGTGCAGATGCAGACGTTGCAGTGGGGTTGGTACAATTTGTTTTTTTGTTATCCATCCTTGTACCTGGCTGTGGATGCTTCAGGATAACTCTGGCAGTAATAAAACCCTAGAGGAATTTTAATGCAGCCTGCCTCGTGCGTGAGAGGTTCCAGGAAACTAGAAACTTGCAAACGTTGAGAAAACATGATTTTTTATTGTGACACTTGGGAACCGACAGGCAACTGGACCTCTGCAGTGAAATGCTCTCCCTCTGCTATGAGGCTTTTCTTAATGAGCGTTTAAATAATTGTTCCTCCTTATTACTTCGAATACTCTAATAATACCAATAAAGGTACCAGGGGTGGTCAATAAAAAGCACACCTTTAATTGAATCATTATCCCCCCGAAAACGCCATAATTGAGGGGGCGGATCCTCCTAAGGCCAGGAAGGCGAGGGGCTGTAGGCTTCTGGGGCCCTTCTGCAGGCTGCAAAGTGTTTAGCAGCTGGTTTGGCATTCGCACCTGCGTTTGCGACTTTCGTCGTGACTCACCGAGGCATCTGAGGGGGCCAGGCGAGGATCACACCCTCTTGGTACACGAGGACCCCTAAGCTTAGAGAAGCCAAGCTGCACAGCCAGAAGTGGCAGGGCTGTGCACCCCTCAGGTTCCCCAACCCTGGGCAGGACCTCAGCCACCTGACTGGCACCCGCCCCTGCAGGGATCCACTGTCCTCTCCATACCTGTCACAGTGAAATGGCCAGGACGGAGGTCCCCCCGCTGCACTGTGTGTGTCCTTGGATGGACCAGGGAGCGGGTCCACCACAGGCCTCGGCCCCAGAAAGGAATCATCTCACAAAGCCGGTGAGCCCACAGTGCCATGGTCCCCAGGAGCGCAAGATGCCAAAGAGGCTGGACCCAAGGGCAGGAAGCCAGGTCCCTGTGGCAGGTCCTCTCTCTGGTCCAGACTTCAGGATGCCCAGGACTAAGGAGCGCTGGCTGTGCCAGGTGACCACTTAACCCTCCTCCAGGATCTAGGACGGCCAACGAAACGACCTCCAGAGTTCCCAAGTGATACCTATTGCTATCATCCCTCAGACGTGCACATTCCTTATTCATTTAAAAACCATTCCCCAGGCCAGGCACATAGCTCAGCAGTAGAATCCATGCTGAGCACACGGGAGGCCCTGGGTTCAATCCCTACTGCCAACAAATAAAAACAAAACCCATCTCTCTTTTTATGGTGTCAGGAAGAAAACATCACATGGACACCTAGGAGGTCTATGCAGTTTTCATTTCTGTATTATTCCTGAACCTGGTCATCTTCGAAGTTGGTAAGCACTGCTGCTTGTTCCAGATCCCTCTAGTCTCACCTCAGCCCTCTCCAAGATGGAAGTGGGGAGTGGGAAGAAGAGGAGCAATGATAATCAAAAAAAACCTTAGGAAACAGGTACCACGAGCCAGGCCCCGCATCAAATACCCTCAGGATATCACACG